TTGGAGAGATGGATGGACTGGGGATATTTTGGAGAAAAGCAAATGTGCACCCCATTCCCTCAAGTCTGGATTCCTTACCTTGAGATGGAGTGTTGTTCCCAGTGGGTGGTGAGTCCTGTTCAATTTTTTCAATTCCTTCTTTCAATTTTTTTTTTTTTTTTTTTTTTGGTGGTGGTGGTACTGGGGCTTAAGCTTAGGGCCCACACTTGCTAGGCAGGTGCTCTATCACTTGAGCCACTCCACCAGTCTTTTTGTGAGATAGGGTCTCATGAACTACTTGTCTGGGCTGTCTTGGAACCACAATCCTCCTGATCTCTGCCTGCTGAGTAGTTAGCCACCAGCACCTGGCCAACTTCCTTTATTTTTGTTTTCTCTTTTTGAAGGGATTTGTTGCTGCTGTTGTTTTTGAGACAGGGTCTCGCTGTGTAACCCAGACTGGTCTTGAACTTGCCATCCAACTTTAGCCTCCTGAGTGCTGGGATTACAGGCATGAACCAGCATGTCTGGCTTTCAACTGCCTTTCAAACAGAATGGGATGTGGAATAGGATGAGCTTCCAGGAGGAGGTTTCAAGAGAGGTAGCTTGGTGATCAGGAGGAGACAGAAGCTTCCATCCAGTATATGCCATCCCCATCCGCTATATATATCCTCTTCACTTTGTAAATTTTTCTCAAATCTACCACTTTATTTGTTTGTTTGTTTATTGTGGTTCTAGAAGTTGAACCCAGGGCCTTGCATATGCTAAGCAAGTGTTCTACCACTGAGCTACATTCCCAGCCCTTACATTTTTTGGTTTGGTTTGGTTTTTGGTTTTTTTGAGACAAAGTCTCCATGCTAGTCTGGAACTCACCTATGTAGCCCAGAGTATCCTGATTCAGCATCCTCATGCTTCTTCTTGCCTCAGTCTCCCCAGTGCTAGGACTACAGGCACATGCCGCCACAACTGGCTCCATCAATTAGTACTCACAAGAAGGAAGAAGCTGGGTGCTGGTAGCTCATGCCTGTAATCCTAGCTACTCAGGAGGCAGAGATCAGGAGGATCGCAGTGAAAACCAGCCCAAGTGAATAGTTCCACACGACCCTATCTTGAAAAAACAAGAAAGGGTTAGTGGAGTGGCTCAAGGTGTAGACCCTGAGTTCAAGCCCCAGTACCACAAAAAAAAAAAGGAAGAAAAAAAGACTCAGAGAAGCAAAAAAGACTACCCAAGGCCACACAGCAGATCCAGAACAGCACTAGGACAAAACCCCACCAGCCTAGCATGTTACCTTCTTGTCTCTCTCATCCTCACATGACACAGGCAAGATGGCAAGTGCCAGCCCTGTTCCAGAGAAGGGGAGACTGAGACCAGGGAATTAGGTTGCATGTTCTGGGCAGGAGTGTTTTAAGACCTTTGTGGGCTCCACATTTACCAAGCATATTCAAATGCAGCAACATCAAACATGAAATGTAAATTATATATAACCAGATAAAAGCCAAATTGCAGTTGACTGGCTGACATCATGTTCTGTTTTGAAGACATTTAATTAAACATTTATTAATTTTGATTTTGCAGTTTTTCCTTGTGTTTTAGAGCCAGTTTTTTTTGTTTTTTTTTTTTCAAGCCTCAAACATTCTCCCAGGTCTATGAACATCTCTCGGGCCCTTGGCAGTGAGCATTTAGTGCTGGCAAGAAGAACAGCCACAGTTTTGGTACTGTTGCCAAAAGTGGCAGAGCAAGGCCAAACCCAGGCCTTGTCTCCCAGGCTGCAGTGTGGTCTCTCTGCTCCCTGCTGACCCCACACCCCAGGGACACAGAGGCCTCCTTTCTGCCCCTCCCTGTCACTGCCCCTGCCCACACCGGCCCTGGATGGTGAGCCCTTTGTCTGTGGCTAGCTGGGAGCTGGCAGAAGAGAGGGCAGCAGTGGGCGGGGAGGTGGCAGGTGGCCTGTCAGGTGGTGATGAATGCTGGTGGGGCGGGTCCCCCCTCATGCTGACCCGGTCCGGAAACAGATGGTCTTCCAGCCTCAGAGAAACTTCCAGAGTGTTGTCCTCCCCAACTCCCCAGGCCCCTTAGCATTGGACCAGCTGGTCTCTCCTTTCTGTTCAAAGTCAGAGCTGCTGGAATGGGCTAGCGAGGTGGAGGCTGGGAAAGATGGCTATGTTCTGGGCCACTCAGAAGCCCAGGGACCATCATGGTCTCTCCCATAGGCCCCACCTGTGGCCATCTCCAGGTCTGCTTTCTGTCCGTCCTATGTCCTCTGCCTTAGCTCAGTCCTGTCACTGCAGGCCTGAACCAAGCCCCAGCCTCTCCTGGCTTCCCTCCAAACCAACCTCCAGGGCGGGCTTTCAAAGCTTCAGAGCTGATCACATTATTTCTGATTCTGGGATGGAATTTGGATTCAGTATAAAATCTGAACTCTCCAGTCAGAGCTTATATTTGGGGTGGGGGTTGGGCACAAGAAATGGCCTCCAGGCCTTGCACGTACAAAGCGTGTGTTCTGCTACGGAGGCCTCCAGCATAGAATTTAATGCCTTCACAGTCCTGGCCTTCTAAAGCCTCCTGTCCAGGCCTGGCAAACCACTGAGCATTCTCCCCGAAAGCCCAGGTGCTCCCATGCTTCCTTTGCATTGTCTGGTTCTTCCACCTGGAATGTCCTTCCATCTCTTTGGTGCCTTCAAATGCCAATGCATGCTTTAAAACTGAGATCAACTCTTTCTTCCTGTAGGAAGTCTTCCCTGACTTCCTTCCCCAGGCAAATTTACCTGTCTCTTCTCTGAATTCCAAAGAATCATGTAGTGTCCATTTCACCTCCTACTTTGTCCCCTCTCATGGGACTGTGAGACATATAAGGGCACAAACCTGGCACAGAGCAAGTGATCAAAATACACTTGCTATGTGAATGAATGAATCTGGCTGCAGAAACACTGTGTGTCGGGGGGAGGAGGGAGAAGGGCAGGCACCCAGAATGGAATGGACAGGGAGAAACTCTCTGCTCATCAGAAAAAACACAGACCACCCCTAGAGCTGCTCAGAAGTGTAGGGCTCTAAGGTAGGGAGGTGGCTATAAATGCACAGACCGGAAACGACTGAAGGAATTGCAGCACTGGAAGGAGGAAATGGACTGTGGGGCCTTTGCATTTCCCAAGTCAACAGTGAGGGAACAGCCCATTTCCCATCCAGGCTACCAATCCAGTAAGGTTCATATTGAGAATGTATCTACAACATTGATTGGTGCCAGGAGGACCGAAGGTATGGAGGCAGGTCTTAAGTTGGATGTTCCTGGCTACATTTGGGGGCAGTGTTTGAGACCTAGAACACAAATCTGAAGGGATTTCAGAACCATCAAGTCCATTCCTCTCATTGGCAGATGGAGAAACTGAGGTCCAGAGAGAGAGTCACACAGCTGCTAAAAGCAGGAAACCCATTTGAGGAAATTGGGTATCAACTGGTCCAATAGTACTGTGGTTCCTCCCTTGGGTTGATGGGCACACCATGAATACAAGTGGTCCCTGGCTCCCAAACAATCTCCTAGAAATGCCAGTATGTCTTATCTGGGAATAGACTCTTCAAATCCCTTTAAATCAATTTCAGATTTAAGTAATAGGGTCACTAAATTTAGGTTGGTATTCTTTCCCCCAGTTTTTTTGGGGGGGCACTTTGGAGGATCTTTCTAGGTTTCAGCAAAGGGTCTGCCTGTTGTATGATTAGGGAGCTGGGGAAGGGGAAGAGTCTGTAGTTGGAGCTGCTTGGGTCAGAAAGTGGAAATTGGACCCAGGGATCTGTGTGCACAGATTCTATCTCATCATACATGGGCACTGCACTTTACAGTGTGCACAGTAGCTTTTCATCCATTTGATTCTCCAGCTACTTTGGGAGGGACTGACTAGAGCTCAGAGGGTCTTGCTCAAGATCTCACAGGAAATCAGAAGTAGAGTCAGGACTTGGAACTTCAGGACTCAGAATTCCTTCCCTACCTGCTCCAGGGTTACCAGAGTTCCATTCAACTCAACAAACTTGGAGTTTCATTCAACCCACATGGATTGAGCACTGACTGTGCTAAGAGCTAACAGTGAGGGGAGACCTACCTAGTCGTTCGAATGGAGTTCATGGTGGGGGAGATGTATGCATGACAAGACAGTTCTACCCACTGTGACAAAGGCTGGGTTCCTACTCCAGGTGGAGGGTGGTCAACAGAAGGTTCCTGGAAGAAACCATGCTTACAAGCTGAGCTTTGGAAGAAAAGTAAGACTTGCCAGCTTCGGGGCTGGGCTGTGGTTGGGTGCAGGGCAGGGTGCTACAGGTAGAGGCAACCACAGGTACAAAGGCTCAGTGGTGAGGAAGAGCTTTGACAGCCCCAGAATCCAGGGCCTGTGCAGAGTACAAGCCACAAAGTTTGTTAGAGAAGTGGCCCAAGAGAAAGCAATTGCAGCCTCCAATGCCAAGGGTAGGTAGGTGTCTGAGGAGCTTCCCTGTGTCCTGAGGTGAGGATTGGGTGCTCAGAGGTGAGGTCACAGATAGGCCAGGAAGCTGCTGCAGCAGAGCTGGGGATTGGCTCCAGGGCTTGTCCCTGAAGGAACCCTGTGGGCAAAGCTAGCTCTTTGTTGTTTCCAGCAAGACACAGTGTGGTCTGGGGGTCAGAGTGTTGCCTGGGTTTGAATCCAGGTTGCACTGCTTCCTAGCTGTGTGACCTTGGGCAGATGATAGGCCTCTCTGGCTCCCAGTTTTCCCATCTACAGAATGGAAATAATAAGGGTGGTGTAAACTGGAGGTGCTCTCAGGCGACAGTCACCCTTCAAAGAAAGCAAGCCCATAATGACGACGGTTTGCAGCATCGCGAGCTTCCTTTGCGAAGCTAATGAGCCCATTCGGTTCTCCCCAACCACAGCCTTTCCATTTTGCAGCTGCAGAGCAGCTGGGCTCAGAGAGGGGCTCACCCCCTGCACTTGCGGGTGGCTTCGGGAGACTGGCAGGAGGGAGCGAGCAGAAGAGCTCTAGAGCTGAGCGCCGCGTCCCTCCGCAGGTACCTGCACGCCCTGTACCTGGGGCTGCAGAGCCGCTGGCGAGGGGAGCGGCTGAGGCGCCACTTCTACTGGCGGATGCTGTTCGAGAGCGCCGACGTGAGCATGCTGCGCCTGCTGGAGACCTTCCTGCGCAGCGCGCCGCAGCTGGTGCTGCAGCTCAGCCTGCTGGTGCACCATGGCGGCCAGCCAGACCTGCTGCCCGGTGAGCCCCGCCGCCCCCGCGCCAGTCCCTGGGGACGCCCTGTGCCCACCCGCGCCTCGGTGCTGCGCTCAGTGCTTAGGGAGGCCCACCCCCTACTCTCTCCACCCTTTAGGTCCCCTGTGACCTGGCCTTCCACCACCTCTCAGGCCCCCTCTTTTGTCCTCTTCTCTTCCTTATTGCCAGAGCAGACTAGACCCCATTTCTACTCTTAACCCACCCCACACCTTAGACCTATTGCAGAGTCCCCTGTTGCCTTAATTCCTCAAACTGTCCCAATCCCAGGCTGCATCTCCTGGGGACCACACTTCCCAACCCCCCACCTCACCTCCTCACAAACACGCCCAGTTGCCACCAGCTTGCAGAAAACCTGTCACTGGAGGACCTGGGGACTCCTCCCAGGCCTAGCTCTGGTCCCCTTCCATACCTGGACCTTGCCCCTTCCATGACACTAGGCCAACCCCCTCAGTGTCACAGAACAGCCACATCTCCTGTTTCTCTGGAATGCCTCATGCTTTCCCCTCCCAGACACTGTCATAACCACTCTCAGGGTCCCAAAGGACTCCCCTAGGCCCCCTGGGGATCTCTTGCCTAGGATATAGGGGTCCACCTGGGATCCTCTCCCCACCCCTCAGCTCTGCTCAGATCTAGGCACCCTGCCACGCCCAGCCACCTCTTGGTAGTCCGTAGCTCCTGTTGGTCCCCTCCTGGATCCTCCATGCCCTAATCACAACCCCCTCTTCATTTCCTCTTCTACTCTCAGAGTCCTGGACCCTAATTTCCCACCCTCCCACCAAGACCCCTCAACCCTAAGGGCCCCTAGACTTGACCCCTTTGGAGATCAGAATCACCCAACTTCCATCTCCCTTTATGCTCCCAACACCTGCAGAAATACCCAACCCTGTCTATCCACCCACCTCATCATTGCTCTTGAAGACCCCCCCACCCACCCATACCAAACTCATTTCTATTGATGCACAGACCCTCTCTCACACCTCCTTAGAACCTAGCTTCTGACCCAGAATCCTCCCCATCTCCCCAGACCCCAACCCAGACCCATCCCTAACCCAGCCCATTCCCATCCCCACCCTGTCTCCACAGCCCTCTCCACCTCCGCCTCCCTCGTGTCCCTGGCCTGGACACTGGCCTCCTACCAGAAGGTGCTGCGGGACTCCAGAGATGACAAGCGGCCCCTGTCCTACAAGGGCGCTGTGGCCCAGGTGTTATGGCACCTGTTCACCATCGCAGCCCGAAGCCTGGCCTTCGCCCTCTTCGCCAGCGTTTACAAGCTGTACTTTGGTATCTTCATCGTGGCCCACTGGTGCGTCATGACCTTCTGGGTCATCCAGGGAGAGACGGACTTCTGCATGTCCAAGTGGGAGGAGATCATCTACAACATGGTTGTGGGCATCATCTACATCTTCTGCTGGTTCAATGTCAAGGAGGGCCGCAGCCGCAGCCGCATGGCCCTCTACTACTGTATTGTCCTGCTGGAGAACGCTGCACTCACCGGCTTCTGGTACTCCAGCCGCAACTTCTCTACTGACTTCCACTCGCTCATCCTGGTCTGTGTGGTGGCCTCCAGCTTTGCGCTGGGCATATTCTTCATGTGTGTCTATTACTGTCTCCTGCACCCCAATGGGCCCATGCTGGGTTCCCAATTACCTGGCTGCATCTTCTCTAAAGCCCCAGGGCCCTGTGGTCCACCAGCTGATGCTGTCACAAGCCCCCCAAGGTCCCTGCCAAGGACTACAGGCGCTGAGCGGGATGGGACCTCAGGGGGAGGTGAGCGTGCGGGGACACCCACACCACCTGTCTTCCAGGTACGGCCTGGCTTGCCTCCCACACCAGTGGCCCGCCCCTCACGGACAGAAGGGCCTGTCATTCGGATTGACTTGCCCCGTAAGAAATACCCAGCATGGGATGCTCATTTTATAGACCGCAGGCTCCGGAAGACCATTCTGGCGCTGGAGTACTCCTCACCGGCCACACCCCGCTTGCAGTACCGGAGCATGGGGACCTCCCAGGAGCTGCTGGAATATGAGACCACGGTGTAGGCCACAGTCTGCTCCCCCCCCAAAAAAAGGGACAGGCTTGGCTGACCCCACAGTGACCACAGTGTTGAGTCTGGAATTTCAGGACCACTAGACTGAGGGGGGCGGGATATATCTGTGGGTCCAAGGGTAGAGTGGCCTCGCCACTGGTTCCTTTAAGGAAAGAGGCAGCCTTGTGGAGGCCCCCATTTTCAGCCCTGGGGCCCATTCCCGAAAATCCCCTGAACCAGGGCCCAGGGAATCAACTGGTGCTACACCCCTCATGCGCTGCCCTGCTTTCATAAGGCTGGCCATCAGAATATACCTGGCGCAGGGAGCCTACACCCTCTCCCCTGCCTGGCATTGCTTATATGTCAACCCTGGTGGACCGTCCAGAGAAAGGGCATTGTCTAGCCCCATGGCCTAGTTCCTGTGCTTCTCGGGGGATGGGGTGGGGAGAGGGTGCCTAGGTGGTGGGAGGGGATTGCTGAGAAGGATGGAGGAGTCCATGGGAGGTGTGGGGTGAGTTGGGAGCAGGGTTGCCACAGTTTCTACAGGGCCGGAGCCTGGAGCTGAGCAGAAGGGGAATTGAGCTGGGGTGTGTTGGGGGTAGTTGGGGTGGGCGGCTGATAGGACAGAGATGGATAGGAGAAAAAAAAACCCAGGCTGGTAGAAGCATGGAGGGGTGGATGATTTGGGGAAGGGAACCTGCAGTCCAGAGCAGAATGAATAAGGAGAATGAGCTCCTGAGACACACACTGTTGTGAGCTGTGTTATGGATGAGGTTCCAGACACCTTAGGTGAAATGTTCTAGATGAATATTTCTTCTAGATAAAGGTCTTGAACACAGGAGAAAGCATGTCTAGGAAAGCACGTCTACTCTGGGTTCAACTATAGATGAGTTTCATCAAGTGGGGGAAATGTTCAAGAGACAGACTTGGTTCTAGATGAAGTTCTAGAACATGTAGCCCATAACGTCATGCATTCTGTTAGGAAAAGCAAGGACACTGGAGCCCTGCTGCTCTGATGTGGAGGGGCAGGAGTTGCAGAACCCAGCACACATGGACTAGTCCAAGAATGGGTGCTCTAGTTCTAGACTCCTGGGGCTTATGGAAGTTCTAGGCCCCTGACTATGGCCTCAGCCATCTTTCTAAAAAGAAATTGTCCTCAGAACTCCTGAGACATTTCAGCTGCCAACTGGTTCTCAGTTGGAAAAAAATAGCTCTGGGGACGTGACAGGAATCCTGGCTTTCCGCCACCCTGCAGATGCGGCTCCCCAGGGCGGCATCTGGGAATTGGACTTGTTTTGCCTCAGATCTGACAGCACCCCAGGAACTGTGGTCCATTCCCATGACCCAAACATTCTGGGATGTGTATGGGACCACTCATCCAGGGCTACCTACTCCCCTGACCTGGAACAGCCCGTCCTGGATGGGGTGTGGGATTATTGGAAGTGAGGAGGTAGGCAGCTCTGCAGAGTAAAGAAACTGAACCTTTTGGTAGAGATTGAAGCACTCTCCCCACTTCCCCATGACAACTAAGATGTGTTTGCTGGGATGGGACAGCCAGGATTTTAGGGACAGATAAAGACTGGGTGAAGTGGGCCATGAAAATCCTAGACTATGCAAATTAGAGGGGGTGGTGCTTAGCCCTCCCTTGAATTAGCCTCCCTAGGGGTTATAAATGAGAAACTGAGACTGAGTGGCAAATACTCTCATCAGGTCCCAGACTCCTGGATGCCCAATCACATGGTGATGGGTGCTGATGGGTTCTCTGAGGATGCAGGGAGGGGGCCACACTTAGGGTGAGCCCACAGGCAGAGAAGGCAGGGCTGCATGTGCACACATCACACCTGGGATACAAGTCACCCCACCTCCCAGCACTACAGGCGGCTGACAGACCAAGATGATGTGTGACTTCTGCCATCACAGAAGAATGCTTGTCTTTCCTTCTGCTTCCCTGATCCCCAAGAAGCCTCAGGAGCTTGACCACAAGAGTGATGAGTCCTCCATCCTGACTTAGGCCTGCTCTGGTGGGTCACCAATTCTCCTTGTCCTCTGCCCAAGTCTGTCTTCAGAGAGCTAATTCCACAGTCACTTACACACATACCACAGCCCTATGGGAGATGTTACCCACTTATCCTACAAATGAGGAAACTCAGGCTAAGCAAGGTAACATGAGAGTCACCCTTGGCTAGCTGTTTTACTCCCTAGGGGCCTAGAATGGCCCATCTGACTGCTGCATCTTCCAGCATCCTAGAAAGAAAAGTGAAAAATTCTTGAGAGCTGGGAGAACTTTTACTCTAGGAAACCCTGGGGAGCCAGGGAACAAAAACCTGCTGGCAAAGCCAGCCAGGGCTTGAGGCTTGCAGGGACGCCAAGGCCACATTTTTTGGAATTTACTCCACCCTCACATCATCTCAATCCCACAGAACCTTCTTCCCTCAGTATCTCTGTCTGCAAAGACTACTGAGCCCCAGGAAAGGTCATGGTTAAAGGGCTGTGGACACCTTCTGCTTCTTACCCACAGGAGACAGCCTCCAAATGACTCCCTTTTCTGGAGCCTAGGACCCTGTCCTGTGTGACCTGAGATCCCCCTCTGTGCTGGCCTTTCTCCTTACTTCACTAGGATGAGGAGTCCTGTTGTTTCCTGTTTCTTTCTGTGACACAATCTACCTCAGCGGTCTCTTCTCTGCCAGAATCAGACTCCCTGTGTCCTCCACTCCCTATTCCCTGTCCCTCACCCAGTGTGGATGCTCAGGCCTTCCCAGGATCCCTACAGGGGATCCCTGCAGTGGGAGAAGGCTCCAGAACCATAACCCAGAGGGGTCCTTGGGGTCCCCAAAGCCACCTGCTCTCCACATCCACTGTAGAAAAAAAAAGCCCCGGGCACATGCCCAAGGTCACACAAGAAGTCAGTGGCAGAGTTGGGGCTTTCCTGGGAATGAGAGGTAGTCTGACCCATCCTAATTTCACCAGGAGCAGAAGAGAACAGGACACTCCAGGTACCAAAGTACCAGGCAGGCCCTGCCCTGCCCTAATATCTAACCCTCAGAGATCTGCATCCTGGGGCAGACATGTTTTCCCATTTCCTTGAGCTCCCACCCCCAAACCTACTCCACAGGCTACTGACTGTGCCCCAAACCTCTCTAGGCACCACACACCCCTCACCCTGCTTCCACATTGATGTACCATGTGCCTTGTAATGATCACCCCAGCTGACAGCACAAGTCTCCACCTTCCCCAGTAGGAGGCTCCCCAAAAGTGAGGCTTTCTTGGCCCTTTCCTCTCATCTGCCTCATTCTTAAGTCTCTCCCAAATCTGCCTTGCCCTCAACCAACTCCCTGCTACACCTGTGTCTCCCTGAGGTGCATCATCCATGATAGTTGGAAAGGCAGAAGCCCAAGAATGTCCAGATCTACAGATGAGGACGGGGGTGGGGGGTGGGGGGGGGGCAGTGCTGGGAAAGTGCAGGGTTGTCTTCCCTGGCAGCCCCAAAGTCCCACTGCAGACTGCAATTCTGCATGTCCTTCCCTTGGGAGTTCACCTGGACCTGGAGTCCATACCAGTCTCAGACATGGCTATGTTGGTGGTAAACTCAAATGGTTCTGGTAGTGAAAATGAAAGTGCTAGACAACAGGGAGCAGTAGGAACTCTGGCAAACAGGAGTGTGTTCTTTGCTTGTAAGCACTAAAATTCAGATTTTTAAAAAGTGATTCCTGGCCAAGCTAAAAACATATTTTGGCTCCAGTTTGAGATCGATCTCTAGTTCAAAATGTTGAGAAGGTTTTTGGGGAAATCAGGACCAGAGGTGCTGGCTCCCCCTGAGACTTTGCTAAGCCTGCCCCAATCCCCACCTCCTGACCATCTAAAAGCAGACCTCTGCTCTCTGCTCAAAAGGGGAGGGTGGTCTAGGAGTCCCCAGGCTCCTGAATGGGGCCTCTGATAAGGGCTATGGGTTCCTCCAGCACCACAGGAGGCAGCCTAGGGCCTGGAGTCTTCTCCAGATTGGGAACTTCTGGTTAGCATAGGGAGAGCCGGTCACAGGGTGACCTGAAAGCCAGTTCCTCTGCCCCATCCCCTGCTACCCAGAGACTCAGCTGGGGTAGGACACTGGAAAGGGCACTGCCAGTTTCTGCACAGAAGTGCTTTGTGATGTCTCTATGGGTAGAATGGATGGAGTGGGTGCCAAGCCACATAGGTAGCTGTGGGGCAGGGGTTCTAGTCCCCCTTCCCAATCAGAGGCTTCAGGCACCCTGGGCTGTGGAGAAAGGGAGGCTATGTGCCATTGTGGTTGGGGAGAGGATGTGACATTCCCCAGTTGTTGGTTACTGCAGGTAGAGGCATGGAGACAGAAGAACTCTGGAGCAGGACACTGGGGAGGAAGGGGGGAGGAAGGCCCAGTCCACCCTGGCCTGGTTCCTGTAGGCAGAACCCCCAGCAGACAGAAGGGTGCTCTCCTCAGCATGCCTGGCCTTTATTCTATGCACAACTGGTATAAGGGCCCCCCAGGCGGATGGGGGCCCAGGGTACCTGCAATAATCTCAGAGTGGAGGGACCCTGGGACAAAGGAGGACAGCCCCAGCTGGGGAAGAGGGTATTCCTCCATCTCCCTTCACTCATATCCCAGGATCCAACCAGACCCAACAGACCCTCTTCTTGCCTGGTTTCCAAACTACTCATAAAATGGGGGAGAGACCTAAGCCATTCCCAGGGCACTACCTTATTGTTCCCACTCCTGAGGATCCTGGGGTTGGGGAGATGTGGGTTTTTTCTCCTTTCTTGGTGAAGGATTCATTTTGCCACAGTAAACGAACTCAAGCTGAGTTTCTGAATGCAGATAAAGGCTGCCAAGGCGTCAGGTTGCTTCCCAGGTGGCTCAATTTCTGCTTTCCATTGGATTGCTAAATGCAAAATTCAAGAGCACTCATGGATACCCATTCCTGCCTCCACAGACCCTCAGGTGGGGTCTAAGACCCCAAGTTGGGAATCAGTGACTTAGTTACCCAGTATCTTATTTTACAGGAAGGACAGGCCCAGAGACAGGAGGTGGCCTGCCCAGGGTCACACAGCAAGTTGGTGGCAGGGGGTGGACCAGAAAACCGGCATTTTGGAACGGAATCCCACTAGGAATCCCACCAGAACACCGTCAGCTCTGTTCCGGCCCTGACATTTTTTCCCCAGGAACCACTAGCCATGCCTGAGGAACTGATTTCCCTCTGTCAGCACAATTCTGGTGACTCTTCCCTCCATGTTGTCTCTTTCTTCCCTGGTCAGCCCCAACCCCTCTCTGCCCAACTTCTG